ACTATAGAATTTAGTCAAAAACGAAATTTTATTTTGTAGCAGAAAGAGAAGTTGCTCTAATCGTTACAAAATAATTAAAGAATCAACATTAAAGAAAAGAAAGCAATCGAAAGAAGTAATTATCAAAATTGATTGGAAAAATTACGGACAATTTTTTTTTCTTTTTGAAATTGCTTACAAAGACTATGTGTTGATTCTGTCAGTAACTTTTTTATGCATGGCTTATCCGTACATATTAATATTAAAATAATGAAAGTAATTTTGTTTATTTAATTTTTTACATCTTGACGTTTTAACGGCTCGACAAATCATCATGAAGTTTGGTAAACAAATGCTATTTGAGAAAGGCATGGACTAGTATTTATCTTGACCAATTAACATGCTAGTCATGCGGACAAAATCGACAGTAAAAGCTAATCTATTATAAATCCTTACAAATCTAACGACCTACTGCTAGTCACTTCTAGGTATCTACATCATTGTAATAATTTCCTATAACCGCAAACAATAAATTAAATTGGAAAGTAGCATCGGTACCTTCGTAAATCAATCAACTCAGTATTAACTAGAACCATTTGTTTTCTTATCAATTGAACTTTGTCTATCAAACTGATAATTAATTTCAATTGTTATACTGTCCTGATTTTATCTATACTAAAACATAACTGTTTATTTGTTTTCTATTACTATTTGTATTATATTATTAATTATCATTCGTTTTATTTTATTTATAAAAAATGGTTATTTTTCGGTTTGAAAGGTGGGATATGGCAGTGAAGTTACAAGGTACAGAGATATAATACCATAGTTCTCAAGAATGGCAATGCATGGAGATATTATAGGCATCATAGTGAATTCCGTGTTGTCTACGATACGGTTTATATGTATAGGAGAAGGTTACTACTTCCCATTATGTAGGCCGTCGCTTGTTCACCATTATTTCATTTTACTTTAAAAACAATAGTTGAATTTTTATTTAATATCACCTGCCATATACATTGAAATATTTGCAGTTAAAAAATATTTGTACAAAATATTTTTTCTAAGCTGTGTCAGAGTAAATGCTATTTTAATATTATATTTTAATCCACATTTTGCGGTGAAAGTAAAGTACGGTTGGTAAATTCAGCAGATTAAAAATAATAAAAGTTTTCTCATTCACAGTTTACATGGAGTTTTAATTAGCGCAAAGGTCAACCATTTTTCATACACTTAACTTTGATTACGTATGCATTTGAACGTATAATCAACGAGAAGCTTGTTTGCCATTCTGAGTTGCATAAAAAAAATATCTGTAGTTAGTATCCGCTAATATTATTCAACAAAATAAATAAACAGCTGTGTCTCGGGCAGTTTTTCTTAAGTGAATCAGGATAAATAGTATCCTGTATTATTAATCTCTATTTATGAACTAAATGTCATTGAAATAATTTTATCTACTAAAGCGTAACTTAATGATAAACATTTAAAGACTTTCACTTTTATAATTCAGGTAAAATAGATAATTGTCGTTGGGAACTATACTTTCAGAATTTGGATTTGGAATAATAATTTCGGTGTAACTAGAAGATCTCACTTTATACATAGGTTAATTTTGAATTTGTAAAAATAATTATGTATTACTCGTATTATATTTTCATTTTATTTTCATTTATTTTTGTTTTTATATTTATTTATTTTATTAAGTAATATGTGTCAAAAACTGTTTTTATATGTGAAATTACAGTATAACATTTTGTGAAAAAACTATTATACATGTGAAAAATAAAAACAGTTACGATCGATCCAGGTAATTGGTTTTTTCACACTATAGTTTATCTTAAGAATACTTAGGAATAAGACTAAATGAGAACAGGTCACAACGAAATCAATCTTTCTTACGCGAAAAAACCCAACAAATGAAATTGCCGAGATATTTTTGCCAACAAAAGGCTAAGAGTAATTTGTCTGTGGTAGTTTGTTATCCACATAATGAACACGTAGCGGCTTATCGTCTGAGCGCAATAGTTTTGACATTGCTGCTCGAGAGCTGATTTATTTATTTTGTATCCTTAGATTGAACCAAGCTTCAGGGCTTGAACGTCGCAAAATTGGGAAAATGAACTTTGCAAAATAAAAACAGTAAGAATTCTGTAAAGAAATATTACAATTTGTTTGCAAATAATATACTTATTATATGTGTATATTATTATTATTTGTGTTGTACTTGAAATAAATAAAATAGAAAATAATAAACAGCTTTTCACAGGCCTTTTCTCATAAGAGAAGAATTGTAGCCTAATATTACACACTGGATAGGTAACTTGGTATATCCTATTTATTTCCATAGTCTCCTTACTCTTACAGTATAATAATGTATTATTATCATTATAACAATATATTATCTCTTATTAGAGTAAAAAAATATTATATATTATTTTTTATCTGATCAAATTAATTATATTTTGTTTATTATTATTATAACATTTTTATCGTAATTCTGAAGATTATATTTTTTTTTATACAACTTAGAATGGCAAACAAGCTGACGGCCCACCTGATGGAAAGTGGTAACCGACGCCTATGGACATGAGCAGTACCATGGACATAACAGAGTATACTGTTTCGCCTATGATACCCCCCATGCGTTGCCATTCCTGAGGACTCAGGTGTCATACCTCTGTACCCAGTAAATTCACGCCATATCCCACCCTTCAAATCGAAACACAGCCATGCAAACATAACTGCTTCACGGTTGAAACACGAATGGGGCAGAGGTACCCAAGCAATCGACTTTTGTACAAAGTCTCCCTCTGGTATTAAAATTACAAAGCGTCATCGATGTGAGCATAATATATACTACTAGTTTAGTATATATAAAATATAATATATTCTTACTAATAATTACTTTGCATTAATTTAAATATCTAAAATTACTCGTATAGCTAAAATTTGTAAACATTGTAAATACGAGTATATCAATTTACGAAAGTGACTTTTGTTTATTGGGACTGAATGTATACCTACCCACTACTAGTTAGTTGAAACAATGTCAATCTGGTTTGGACGAACAGACCGAAAAAGGTTTCGTAATCACAATACAATCAACGCTATCGTCCGTTTACGGATAAAGCTAAAAGATAAACCGTCAAAAACGCACAACGTTTCCCCAAAAACTTTTCGGGTATAATTAACTATCGAAGTTTCGGGAACAAAGGGTGAGCGCGGAAAATCGGCAAAAAGTCCAACATGGCACCTACCCATGACCAAGCATAAACAAAGAATTTGCCGACCATACAGTCATTAAAATGTTATTAACGGGCCTTTATTAAATAAAAGATAATTAATAAACTTATTCGATCGTAAATATGAACTTTAATAATAACAATTCATACTATATATGGATGAGTATTTTTGGTATTAATTATTACTTACTACTTATTTCTCGGACTTTACCTGCATGATATAGTACATAAATTGTTCTTTTATTCGTGTACCAAATTTTAATCAATTCCGTTTAGTCGTTTAAGCGTGATTGAATAACAAATTAAGATAAAGCGGTTCCTAATGCATTTTACTATTTAACTATGTGATAAAACAAAATCAAACTCAATATATAAATTTTTTTTAGATTATTGCGGTCCGCATAACTACCATTTTTACCTTTTTTATTCGTTTGTTATTATTTTTGCGACAATAGATATTACAATGTCATACCAATAATATGAGGAGGATCGCGTATGGAGATGCCCCATTTAGAGGCATCGCAAAACGTGCGTGGACGGAATGGTGGTCGGATATTGATGGCTAAAATGGAAGGTTGTAAAAGTTCTGGTAATAATAATAGTATCATTCTTCGACCGTTGTCAGTACTAATGGTAGCGGAATTAAAATAATTGTCATCATGTGATATGAACTTTCGCAAAATAACACCTAATTCGTTAAAATAATTGTAAATATGTTTGTTATTAGATCACATTGAATGACTAAATGGATAAAAGTTTGTTACATAGATGCATAATACCATAGATTAACCCAAACGATCCTGAATTATATGTCCAAAACTCCGAGTTAAGCTACTGTTAAATATTACACTGACAATATGTCCAAACTTTGTCTGTCTGATATATGGCGGTATGGCATACAAGTTTGCTTAAAGGGGAACACGCATGCTGATTTTACCGTTACGATACTGATATCAATATAATTAACGCGAACTTTTCAATAAGTAATTATACAAGTTTACTAAAGGATAAACGGTAATTTATTCATATGAGAAATATATGCCAGTTACATTTATATATATGCGGAATACATAAATGATATGAATTAAACTTAAATTTAACAGGTTTTATATATTATTGAATTAACTATAGTCTTATATATATAAGTATATAAAATGAAATTTGATCAGGATCTGTTACGATAAATAACCAGAGGAATACGTAATAAAGAAGAATTCGTAATAATTCTTATAATTCTTATGCTCGTTAAGAACTACACTGATTATATACTTATTATTTGTATTATATGCTCTACATGTATGATAAATGCGAAAGTTTGTAACGATGGATGGATGGCTGGATGACTCTTCCATGCAAAAACTACTGAATGAAATTTGCTAAGCAAATAGGAAGTACACTAACTTAGTTTATAGAATACTTTGTATGTTGATTCACGCGGTGAATCTCCCGGGATATATGTAGCTAGTATAAAATATTTTTTTGGATTACAAAACAAAACAACTATTACATAATTATATCCACTATTTGAAATCTGTATATCTTTTATTCGAATAATTTATGAGATACACGTCATCTCATCGCAGATAATAGAATAAATTATTTTAATTGAGTTCCATTCAATAAATATGGTATCGGGAGACCGCAAATAGCTCGCCATAAATTCCGCAAACAATTTATTCTTGATATCGTAACAGAGTGGACGTTTAAATCAATTGGTTAACATGAATCGTTACTAGACAGGTTTCAATGTATTCACATTATAACGATGAGCAAACACGAAAGCTTCGTCTGTACCCAATAAGGTAGACTGAACGATGTCGCATCGTAGCAAAACATCTCGATACATAAGCATTTCTAGGTAGATGTTTACATCAATTTTTAAGCATTACAGCAGCCCTTGTTGACAGCGAATAAAGTTTATTTTTGAATGTCATCGTTTTAACATGACAGCGTACGTGCTTGGCAAATCAAGTGTGTTGAAGAGCGGATGGGAAGGTCTATGAAAAATCGAGACGAGGGCGACACAATAAGCGAGGAAGGAGAGGGTTTCGTAAGGTGCTTTAATCGGAAATGCGGGGTGTCCTTCACACTGGTAAGTGACTGGCTTATACACTATGCAATTAATTCATCAAACTTCACAAATATTTTAATTAAAGAGTATATTTCGATGAGCTTCTCATATCTAAGAAATTAATTAATAATCTTCATCCCCTCTAGATAAAGTAAAATCGAATCTATTGATAGAATCATTATCGCTAACGAGACAATGAGATAGAACAAGATAGCGATGTGCGCTGTCTTGCTCTTTCTCATGTAAACGCTGACCGAAATGATTCTATAGATAGTTTCGATTGTACTTTGTTTAAAGGGCTAATGACATTCAATCTTTATATCATAATGCATTTAGATATACTGTCTCTTTATCTTTACCATAAACAATCGAACTTTTTTTATTTCTGTGTGGGTGAATTTCTATCATAGACTAGACTATACTTTAGGACTAACACAATTCAGGGTGTACGTGCTTGAACAACGATACCTAATTATTACAGTTATTACTTAGTTAATGGTGCACTATGTTATAAAGAAAATACGTGTTAACCAACAGCGGAATTTTAGTGGATATTTTTGGCACTCGCTTTATCTGGATATATATAATCTAAGATTAAATAATAATAAAAACAATATTAATTATCTTAACTCTTTCACTAAAACTAACATTAATTTAGATTAAAAACCTTAACAATAATTAAAGATTGTGTTCCACACAATTGAATTTTTGAATTAAGAACCTCTTTTGAAGACGATTGAAAGTTAGACTTCAATTTTGTAAAAAACATACGTCCTTTATCTATTCACCATTGCTGGCGCAAAATATCGCGTAACATAGACACACGTCAAAAAATATATGTATATATTTGAATGAAAACCTTTTTATTTTTAAAGTTGATTAAAAACAGAACACAATTGCATTAGTTAAATCCTCGAGTTTGATGTTTTTGCAATCTACATTTCAACCTTTTCAAACACGCAACATAACACCACACGCAATATGGGTGTCGTTTTAATTTTTTATTCTGTGTATTTACTGTTTTGTTTTTTTATTTCCTGTCCGTCATTGTTTCAGGTGACATAATGATTATAGGCATGATACTTGCGCTAATATGGGAACGATTTGATACCCCTTTTATAAAATTCAAATAATTTGACTGGTACTCACGACTAAATTTTATTATGTATTATATACCTTATATTTTATTATTTATTTAGGATCACCAACATAAGATACAGTGGAACATTTCGACACAATACACTAGTGGATTACGGCTGTTCGTACATTTAGAGGCAACAACAGCTTGCTATGTATTTAAAAGTAAAATTTTGTAATTTGGACATGATAATATCTGGATATTATTACAGTTAACTTTTTGAAAGTAAATCAATATACATACTTAGAACAGTTTGTTAAGTAATAAGAATTAGGACGGATATTAAGAATTACACTGCTTAAGTACTGCAGGAAATGAATGGGCACAGATGGCTCGGGAACGTCCCTTATGGCAGTCTATGGAAAGCTCTGTGTTTCACAGTGGGCAATTAATCGCTGAAATGATGATGATTATTAAATACCCCAACATCAACACACAAATTAGAAAGAGTCTGCCACCTGTAGATCTTATTCTCAGGGAATAAAGTTCTAAATCCTCAGATATTTATTGGTTGCCCCCCTACCATATCAGCTGATGAATTAGCCTGTCAGTAATATGAAAGCAAACGCCAGTTGTCAATTTGTGAGTGACGCCTTCAGGAGGGTGCTTTTAAATTTAAATAAACATAGTCTTATCGACACGCAATACTATTACGTTGTATTAAAGATCAAAATAGCTTGGCAACCAATAAATTTATTAGGGTAGTGATTTATGATCGAGTGTTAATTTTTGTGTTAAAAACGAAATGATTTATTTGATGTTTTATCAATACAGATTTAGGTTACTTAAATGATTAATACAAGATGTCTGTCTTGTACAGTTGATTTAAGATTGATTTAAGACTTTATTTACAATAAGAAATAAAACATAACAAGTTGATGTAAATAACAAACAATAGCTAATTTCTTCCTGATTAAACTTTTTATTTTCAAGAAACCAAAGAAAAGAAGAAGTATCAAGACTAAGATAGTGTTCAATTAATGGTGACAAGACTAGGTAATGGAATAATAAATGTGTTATTTAAGTACTGTGTTCTAAAACTTGTAACAAATTAAAAAAAAACTATATTATTGATTTTAAATTTAACTATCATATGTGCAACATTAATTACGTGAATCAAAATGTTATTGAAAATTAAACAGATTATTACCACAATGCAATGTAAATAATTAAGCTTATTAATGTCATTAATATTCCCACCTTATAAATACGTATACATAATATAATATTATATATACATATGTATAACGTAATAGTTTCAAAAGCCATTTAATTTATTTTTATGTTCTTGTACACTTGTTAAACCAACACCGCAAGTACATTTATATGCAATGTGGTTGGTAAATGTGATAAATGTAAACTTTATAGTGACTTTAAACAATGACTAATAAAACTAAAAACCTACTAAAGATATCGCAATTACAAAGTAAAAATAACTTGTAAAATACTTATAATTTAAACTTTATTAAAAAAGACATAATAAAGATAATACACATACAAATTAAGAAATATACCAAGATAAAAATCTAGAGAGTAATGAATAAAACATATGGCATTCAAACAATATTAAACCGAACCGATAAAAAACCTGCTGAGACACTTAAAATTCTACAAGTTAATTAAAACAAAAGGCGAGCAGATAATAGTATTAAACTGAATTACGATAAAAAATGCACAAAGACTCTTGAAAATTCTACAAGTTGGCGTGCCAGCCAATTTCTCGGTCGAGAAGCCGCAACGCTGGCGTGTGGCGTGTGACGGCTACGCCACATGTTGCTTGTCCACAAACATTTGCATATCAAAGCGTAGGCTAACACTCAATTACAGATCTGTACCGGTGAGACACTGCAATAACGTGCGATGGAATATATAGGATTCTAGTTACTCATAACAATACAATGTAATAGGTGAGAAGATGTAGTATATCAAATCTGTTTAATTAATTTAAGAATAGGCTAACCGTACACTACATTTTATTCCAATACATTCAGCCGTTTAAGCTCGAAGAGTAATCGGATTTATATATATGGATAAATATGTTCGGATAGATATATCCATCCTTATAACAAAATCATCATCATCATCATTTCAGCTATTATTCGTCTACTGGTGGATATAGACCTCCCCCATAGACTGCCATAAGGAACGGTCCTGAGCCACCTGCATCCTCTGACTCCCTGAAATGCATTTGTGGTCGTCACCCCATCTAGTGGGGGGTCGACCTACACTGTGTTGACTCATGCAGAATAGGAAGTAGGATTTTAAAATATCTAGCCCAATACTTGGGAATCCATAGTCCTTAGTTAATAGTAAGTTGAAAATTTATCCCTTACATCAGGTCGAACTATTGGAAGATGAAATTTTCCAATGGTAGTATGATCATTCCTAACTTTATAATTATCGTCTTTACCTTGAATTTAAAATTTTCCATATTTGTGTATACCATTGTTTTTGCAATAACTGCATAATGCTATGATTACTGAGCTATTTCACTTTTTGCTATACTATAGTTTGTAACGATGGATTGCTTTCATATTTTTTATCATATTGTTTGTTGAATCTTTAAATACATCATCAATCCATATAATAAAATCGTAACTGGTCGTTGTCTGTGCATAGAAAATACATAAGAGAAACTATTATAGAGGGATTTTATGAACGCAATAGAACCCAAAACAATGATTTTTAGTATTTTTATCTCTTTGTCTGTATTCCTGTTTGTGTACATATGTAATCTCAGAAACGGCTTAAATGATTTGAATTCGGTTTTTACTAATATGTTGCGGTTTGCTTCACTTAACATTTAATGTTTGTTTTATTTCAATCGGTTCATAAATAAAAAAGTTATATCGATCTAAAGAATCACATATAAAATGCTATAAAATAATTCGTTTATTATATGTATTGATTTTCCAAAATTCTGTCTACTCGTACAAAGCCAGGTCGGATCGCTAGTCTTGTACATACAAACACTTTAAAAACACTTGTACCACAGCATAAATAACAGCACAAACTTGTATCATATTAGAAGAACTTTTCAAATTTTATGAATAGATTTTTCATACTACGACGATTTTATTTACCACTTTGATATCTTAATGCAATAACTTCCGGTTTAACGTACGTGTAATTATATCGAAAAAGCTCGATTAGTTTCGAATTAATCCCAAAACTAGTCGACCTTTTTCGATTTAATTATACGTAAGTGAAACTAGTAGTTATTACATTAAAATATAATGTTTGCTTACGAAACTTTTAACACTTTGATATCAATATCATGGTGTTTTAATAAAGGGGCCAAACTCTATTTATAATTATCTATATTTATAAATATATAATCGAATAATATAACAATAACAAAAATAAAGACAAAATGAGGATCTCCTTATTTTAGTAGTCGCTCAAGAATAAGTTCAAGATATTTCTGGAAATTACAATATTGAAATTAAAACGAGTATACATATACTCATAATACATATTATAAACATGAGTATGTTAATTCATTATATTATTTAGAATTTTCGTACATGATACTACGATATGCATTTATTTTGATTATTCCTAAAATATTTTTTTAACGCGAACCAAGTTATGGGATATTATTTTTATAAAAATATGCCTTTACATAGCTATTTCTAAAAGTTAGATGAACAGTTTGGCCCCACTTCATCTCGTCAACAAAGGCTCCATACGCTAACTTGACTGCCAAAGTTGTTCGGGACCCATAAATCAGTGAGCACATAGCATGCAGTCGGCAGCGCAGGGCGAAAACCGCTTACTTGGCATACAGCCACGCACCCTCGCGGTTGAATTATCAAGCTGTCAAAGATTATACAGTAAATATAACAGACGTGACATATCAATATGTTTAAATAATAGTTTG